TAGGTCAGCAAGCTCCAGGATGGCTAGAGATAATGGGATATACACACCCGACACCTCTACGCAGGTGATGCGGACATTGTCGGAGGCGCCATCAGCGGCCAGTGGCAGGTTGGCGACGAGCTTGCGGAGGATGTAGGGGCCGTGTTGCGAGGGACACCGCCCGGACAGCTGCGATTGGGAAGATGCTTCTGCCATGGTGTTGAAGCATCACATGCGCCATGACCGGCTATGCCTTGGATGTCATTGTGGGTGGATGTGTAGTCGGGAGCCTGGCAAGCTATGTACCATGTATCGCGCTTCCCATGCTCCATAGTAGCCCAGCCCACCAATTAGGGCCGCCTAACGCCGCACCCTCCGCAGTTTCATGGGCACCTGGCATGCATACGTAACCCACCACGTCCACCTCGTCACCTTCAACGCGCTGTCTTCGAGATCCAGTGCTGCACGCAAATATCTATACTTCTTCCACAGCTGGTACCGACGACCGCAACGCTACCATGGAGGGTGGCATTGACATGGAGGACACCGTCGTGGCTCCACCAGCCACCAGCGAGCAATCGCAAGAACCCGGACATGTTCCCGAAGAAGGCAACAAGTTCCAAAAGGCCATCGGTGCATGGAGAAGTATGGACTGCTCACTGCAGAACCAATCTGCACATATAGGCTAACAATGCGCCAGACATCGACCTCACCACGCTCATCCCACAACTTGATACCGTAGCCTCGGACCTCGTTGCGCACCAGCGAGACACTCTCACACAAAGAAAAGACCTCGCGCAAAAGACAAAAGACTTTAGGAAACAAGACGACGCGAGCAAACTCAACGACATCAAAGGCCTCCTCAAGTGTAAGCATGTAGCAGCGCACTGGGATTGACTTGCTTATGCTAAGCCAACTTGACAGCTTACCAAAACTTCATTGATCTTATATCCAACCAGTCCAAGACCGTACAAGCCGCCTTCTTCCAAGTCTACTCGCCGCTTTCCGAGGCTCCCGACCCATATCCTCTGCTCGAAGCCTCCGTCGACTCCCTCGTCACATCCGAGGAGCTTGTGCCGAAACTCACGTCTGAAAACGAGCGCTTGCAGAAAACCGTAGCCAAACTTACAACACAGCTCGACGAGTCGGAGAAGAAACTGGAAGAGGAACGCACCGCACGGAAGGCTCTTGAAGATAGCCGCGACAGCAAGATCAAGGAGGTTGAAGCATCATGGTCGGCTGTCTTGAGCGAGAAACAGGACAACTGGGAGTCTAAGGAGAAGGCCCTGGAAGAGAAGGTTGAGAACCAGGATCGGCTGCTGAAGGAGCTCAAGGCCAGTTATGAAGTCTCACAGCGACTTGGCCAGGGAGAGGCCGCCGAAGAAGGAGGTCGAGGTGCCACAGCTGCGGAGCTTGAGATTGTCAGCTCGGAACTTGAGCGAACAAGCCACCGGTTGGCTGAGATTACGGCCCGGAACGAACAACTACGTCTGGAGTTGGCTCAGTCTGCATCGGCGCCTGCTCAACAAGTCGCAATTGAAGACGACCCTGCCTTCCTACGTCTGCGATCTGAAAACTCGTCACTCCTACGAAAGCTGGAAAATGCGCGTTTCGAAAAGGACTCCGACAGGACGCGCCTGGAAACCGAAATGCGGAGTTTGGAACGGGAGATCAAGTCTTTAAAGAGCGAGAAAGAAGCGCTCCGCGAAAAGGTCCAAAAATGGAGCGACTACGAGAACGTCAAGCAAGAACTTGAGGTCTTGAAGGTATGACTTCTAAGGGTATACAATCGTGTATGTATGCTAATCTGTGCTAGTCAATCGAGTTCGCAACTGGTGATGACGATGACGAGGCTACTGAGATTGCACTCTCACAAAATGGTGCATCCGGCAAAGGCAAGGGAGAGACGCTGGAACAGCTCCTGCTTGCTCGTAACAAAAAGCTTAGTAATGAGCTTACAGTCATGCGTGTGTCACATCAAGACCTGCAGAGCAGGCTAGAGGCGCTTCAAGAGGAGCTGTCAAGTACAAACATGGAGTTGGAGAAGTCACGACAGCTTAACGAGACCCTGGAGGCTGACCTCGAAAAAGTCCAGCAAGAGGCTACAAATGCCTTTGATCCTTCGGGTATGTCAGTCGCGGGTACATATGTCTCGCGATTCCCACAATCATCCTTTGGTGGTCGAAAGGGTCGCTCGTCCCCAACATCATCAATCATCTCAGGCTTCGACAATTCGTCACAAGCCCCAACGCTTGCTTCTCTTCGTGCAGGAGGTGGAGGCGGTGAAATGGGAGGAGGCTCAGGCATCCTTCCCATGGTCACCGCACAGCGCGATCGCTTCAAGAAGCGGAACTCGGAACTCGAAGCCGAGCTCCAGAAGTCCTACCAGACCATATCCTCTCTCCGAAGCGAAGTTGGAGCCTTGCAAAAGGACAACCTGGATCTCTATGAAAAGACCAGGTATATCAGCAGTTACAATGCGGTCAACAGGGGCCCTGCATCCAGTGCCTCGAGCTTTGCCGCAAACCCGAACCCCTCAGCCATTAACATGGGCGATGGAGGCGCCTCGACTGTGGATACAAAATACCGCTCAGCATACGAGTCCAATATCAGCCCTTTTGCGGCCTTCAGGGGTCGCGAAAGCGCCCGAGCAATGAAGCGTATGCACCTCTTCGAACGCATGATATTACGCGTCACCAAGTTTGTGCTGCAGACGCGTACGAGTCGAAACTTGTTTGCGGGATATCTGCTAGCGCTTCATTTCATGGTTTTCTATTTTCTTTTTAGTTACGAGGCGGGGGCTGGAGCAGCGGCTGTTGCTGCTGCCGGACCGGGAGGGCCTCTTCCAGGGGCTGAAGACACACATGTTTGGCATAATGAGAATGAGGGCCATTCGTGATGCAGTTTGAGAGGTCATGGGGACACAGGATGGTGTTTGTTGTTTGGACATGTACTATTAGGGTCGTTTCCACGAGTGACTTTTTCCCTTCTTGTCGGGATGTAGAGTTACACCTTTCGGCCATATACGTACGCGCCTGGTACAATCTGGACTTTGAATCGGGTACTGATACCTGCTCTTTTTTTGCCTCTTTTTCCTTCTTGTTTAAGCAAGCTGTGTACAATGTGTAACGCCCTTTTCCATTTTTTCGACATGTGGTTGGCATACTGAGGATATTCGAAAACACCAAGTCACACGCACCTCTCACAAGACTAGACCCACACGCCTAGCAATTGGCAATCAAAACATGTCCAAAATCCAAGGCCACAGGATTCTAGACTTTGCCTTGTGCAAACAGGTTTCCTTGGTATGACAATGCACCGGCACTGGCTCTATCCGGCGGCTGTGTCCTCAAACACTCGAATAATTGGAAGCGCTAAACACTCGACGAATAGTTTTTTCTACACCTGCCCAGTCGTAAACCTTCCTTCCAAGAGAGGCAGACATTCCTTGTACACGCGCTTCACAGTAGCAGCAGAAATGACAGGAAACAAAGTTGAATCCGTGTCATCCATCCAAACCTCCAAGCAAGTTCTTTCTGGCGTCTGGATCTTGGGCACAGCGATGCGCCCAAGAAACTTTTGGTGTGTAAAACATAGTAGAACTCAGAGTAGTTTGTACACCTTGATAGTACTAGACAAAAAAAAAAACATTCCCCACATGCACTCAATTGACCTCCATCATGTAAATCAGGCCATTTTCCTGACTCAAGCCTGCTTCTCTCCACACCGAGAGAAGAAGAAAAAACGAACAAGAACAACGACCACTACGGGTAGTTATCCGAACGCCATGCAACACTCGCCCATCCGCTACCCGGCCGGCCTTGCCAGCCACCTCCACGCGCCCATCTTCGCGCCCGGCACCCCTCCCGCCCACATGATTGGCTGCATTCGCACGCCCCCCCCCCCCCGACAATGGCGGCTAGTCCCAGTGGAGCCATATTAGCTGTCAATATCGGGTTGTCAGGCTATATTAAGGGACAACTTTGATGTATCTATTTATTTCCTTGTTCTAGCGATTTTGATCTGGCGACCTTCTGGAAGGGGTTTGGTGCCCGGGGGAGGGGGGGCATGGTAAACAGAGGGCGGGTAGGTGGGAAAGTGGGAAATAGGAAGGAAAAGGGCTATGTATGGTGTAGTACGGGCGGCTCTGCGGGTGGATGGGTGGGTTGCGTTGCCCCCCCCCTCCTCCTCCTCCCCCCCCGTTGGGAGGTTTGCGCGAAGGAAGGGAGGTATTTTGGGGTGAGCGTAATTTCCACCGGTGTTGAGATGCTGGTGTGGTGTTTGTGGGTAATGATACTTGTTTCTTTGCGAGATATGGGTGTATTGTTGGATCGAGTTGCGTGTAGGGCGTAACATGCAAGCTGCATGTGTGTGTGTACGCAAGCCTTGCGTATTTGGAGAACAGCGTCATGCTTGCGGTCAGCATGGCATCAGCGTAAAAGTATGTGTTCACGTGTAGCCAGATGACTACGTACGACTAACCATGAAATCATCGCTCATGATGACCAGCACCGGTTTCACGCTCCGCTCCCAGGATATTCACTGCTCAACCCGCCTCCCCCGTCAGGCGTTCGCGCCAGCTCCCCATGTGGCGTAGAACCGAACGCGTCAATCTCTTTTCTCGTTCTTCCTCGCCTTTGGACGCCTCGGTAGTCAAGCGAGCCAAAAAAGAAAGGCAGAAAACGCACGGCCCCCCTCCCGCTCGTGCATGGCTGTTGTCGAGCGCTGTGGTCCAATCGCACCCCTGCCAGCTATATTTGGGGTCTTTTTCTCTCTGGCTTGCAAGGGTCCAAAAAAAGTGGGGACTACGGCGGCAACAGAGCGGTCGTGGCATGGGGGAAGTGTAAACGACTGGGTTTTGGGCAATTCAGAACCCCATGTCGGTTTGTGGGTCGGGTACTATGTCGACTACGCGCTGGAAAACAAGCTGTCGTGTCGCGTACGTTGGTCTAGAGTTTCTATGAGGGGGAATTTGTGTATATAGGAACTGCTGGAGAACGGCTTTGTTTTGTTTCTTACTCACACACTCTCATACACACTCACGCACGCCTACTCCCCTCTCTCTCACCCTCTCCCGCTCCACGAATAACGGTCTTCCATTGTTACTGGGGTTGTTTCTTGCCTTGAGTTTCTTTTCTGGGAATCTTGCATTCGGTTCACTCATCTTGTGATTTTTTTTTTATCTAATTCACTTCTCGATTTAAACTACGGATAGATTCCGTTCCGAGATTTTTTCTATTTACGAAAGAGGAAGCATCAGCAGTCAGCAACAAAGACAACTCACGCTCACGCACCTTTACCAAAGAGAGATCTATTCTGGGAAAAGATCGGTGTGGTCAGGGTCTATTTTTTTCACCTTCACTTGCACCTTCCTTTACTTGGGGATATATATAACGGTGCCTGTCAACAACCTTGAATCGACGGTTACACACAAACACCACAACAACACCTACATCTACCTAAGCACTCTACTGCCTCCAACCCGAAAATGATCTTCTCGACCTCCATCAGCCTCGTCTTGGCTCTTGCGCCTGCCGCTCTCTTCGCCGCTCCAACACAGAATGCCGATTCGATCGCGGCACTCATCCCGAGACAGAACCTGCCCGTCGGTATCTACGAGCAGCTGAAGAAGACCGACGCTCTCTGTGATTTGACCAACGTCAAGCTTCCCAATGGTACGTCCCCTCTCACCCTCCTCCACCCACCCGCATATGCTGACAATCCACCCAGCCCCCACTCCCTTCGCCGCCCCAGCCCAAGGCACCTCGCTCCGCCACATCGCCATCGGCCGCGGCACCCAAAACTACACCTGCGCCTCGTCCACCGCCTCCGACGTCCCCAAAGCTGTCGGCGCCGTCGCCTCCCTCTTCAACGTAACCTGCGACGCCGCACGCCTCAACACGGACACGCTCGCCAAAGTCACCAACCTAGCCCTCAACTACGCCATTCCCGTCTCCCCAGAGGCCGAGAAGCGCCTGTCGGGCCACCACGAGTTCACCGCCGCCGGCGTCCCACTCTTCATGCTCCAGACCCAGGATGTCGACTACGGCCGTGTCGAATGCACCGTCGATGCAAAGAGCCCAGCCCCTACCACCGCCAGCTTGGGTACCAACAGTCTCGGCAGCGTCCCGTGGTTGAAGCTCAATGCCACTGTTGGTACTGACAAGCACTGGGCTTACAAAGAGGTCTACCGGGTACACACTGCCGGCGGTGTTGCGCCCAAGACGTGCGAGGGCATCGAGGGTAGCTTCACCGTCGAGTACAGTGCGCAGTACTGGTTCTATGCTTGAGCTCCATGAGGGTTGGTCATGTGTGAAATGACTTTTCTGATTCCTTCTTCCTTTCTTCCATGTTCTTGTACAAAGCATTTTACTGGCGTTTTTTTTTGTTTCTTATGGGAGGAGTTACCGGTTCAGCGTTCCGGTATGATATACCGCCTACGGGCTTTGAGTAGATAGCATTATACCTTCTTGACGATTCTCTGTCATGCTCATAGGTTGAGCGACAGTAGTCGTAATATTGAACAATAAAAAAGTCCCTTTTTTTCAAAAATACTTCCATGTCTTCGCTTCTTTTTCATCTATCTTCTAGTACATCTCTTTTCGGCTTGCGATATCTGGAGCTCCTCTTTCTAAGCACTCCCGTGTCGTCATCTATATTACGCAAATATCTCTTGTTTGCCTCTGGTTTTGGCTGGACGGCTTTTTTGGGCCAGTCCTTGCAAATGTCAATCCTTGACCTGGGCGCAAACATTTCCAACACGACGAAGATGAGGTAGTCGACAATGACGCAAATGCAGAAGAGTTTGCCGGCCCAGATCCCGCAACCATAATATCGCTTGAGTCGTTCAATGAGGGCGAAGCTTTGCACACCTGCTCGACCCCGAGTAGCGCTCCATGCACCAGCTGCCCCTGCACCCTGATAGAATTCGTCATGGCTAATCACACCACTGATACCATCGTATACTCGTTCTGTCCTTTGCGCAATGTCGGTCCACGAGTACATTTGCTTGACTTGATTGTGAAACAGCTCTGTCCTGACTTTTCCTGCCCGCAGTTTGGCAATTGCGCGTCCGGTCGCTTCGACAAGTTCGTCCTCTTCGGGTGCCGCAAATTCCACCATGTGGGCGGGTAGGACTTCTGGAATACCGCCTACTCTTGTGGCTACAACATAGAGACCACATGAGGCAGCTTCTACAATGACCGTACCGAATGCCTCAGTCAATGATGGGCAGAGGTAGATGTGCCCACGCACCATGACATCACGCACTTCTTCGTGGCGGACCGGGCCGATCATGAGAACCTTATCCTGCAGCACGTTCCGTTCGATCATTTGTTCAAGATCGATAGCCTTGGGACCATTCCCGGCAATTATGAAGCGAACGTTTGGGTTCGCCGCAATGATGTGAGGGATAGCGGCTACCAACAGATCAGTGCCCTTGTTGTAGTATAGTCGCTGTATTACAATCACTGTGATGATCTCGTCCGGGTCCATGGGCTGCCGAGGACCCGGCGCCTTGGGCTGGACTGCGTCTTGCGAGTTTTGCGAAAGAGGACGGAAGTTTTCGGCGACTACTGCATTGGGAATGACGGAGACCATGAGGGGATCGAGAGATGCTCTAAGCACAGTGTTCTCCTTGCTACTATTGGTTAGCAAATGAAGATGAGGCATTGAAAAGACGCACCAAGTATGGCTAACACAGATGACATGATCCACGTCGCTCAAGGTGAACTTGAGCAACTTGTTGGTCAAAATGCTTGCAGCATCAGCGAAACCAAACAGACTGTGGTCGGTGAAAACTGTCCTCAGGCCCATTGTGCGCGCATGCAGAATGGCTTCATGGCAAAGGCTGCTCAGACTGGCATGTCCATGGACGATCTCAATGCGCTCGCGGATGACAATGTTGCGGAAGATGGGGAAAAAGGAGAAGACGGTAGGAAAGGTGGTCTCGCGATAGATGACCCAGAAGGGAACATAGTAGACTTTGAGTCCATTGGTCAGGTATCGCACGCCCTTTCGGCCGGCATAGGCGTGGGTGATGACAATGACTTTGTGTCCACGGTCGATGAGTTTCTGGGATGGTAAGGACAAGTCACGGGCTAGCGGCTTCGAGGGTGCTCACACTTGATAGCTGGTACATGTGACTCTCTACTCCTCCTGTAGGATATGAGAAGACAGTTTATTGCCTGCTGGCATGTTTCATACCGGGCTGTGGATAGAAGTTGTCGCTGACCATACTGCAGCGTGTTAGTTCAGGTGGAGGGCGCGAGGGGCATTGAGTACGAACGCGATGTTGTACGGCATGATGGCGGTGCAGGAGGACGGTTTCCTCGACTCTTCTCAAGGAAAGAACGCATGACAGCTCATCGAAGCATTGGTGGCCAAGGGCGACGAGTGGTGCCTTCGTCGCGTGTGCATGTGTGCATGTACAATCCGAGGCGCGTCACTGGTCGGCGTTTGGCTCTCCAAGCTCCGACCAAATTTCTAGGGTCCGGAATTCCTAGTGCATGACTTCTTTTGCTGCAACAAATATAAAGCGCCACGGGTTTTTTCAGACTATTGCTTGAGTAGTCTCTACACGGGGATCGCATTGGATATCACACGCGATGGCTGGCCCTCTATTCAAGCGGTTTGCGCCGCCTGCGTCTGCGCCCCAAAAACAGCCTTCACCCACCCCGGTACACAGCGAAACCTCGAATCCTGCGCATAACACGAACGAGCCCGTCGTCGCGTCTGTGACCACGCCTGTAGAAGATCATACAGTGCCAAAATCTATCAAAAAACCAAAGAGGAGAAAGCGCGAAACCGACGAAGCAAACGATGAGAGTGACGAGGTCGCAAAGAAACACAAGAGCATACTTTCCAAATTCGAAAAATCCTCAAAGCTAGCCGAGGCAAAGAGCCAGCAGCATGAAGACGAGGCAGCTGACAAGGAAGAAGAGGAGGAAGAGCTCCACGATCTAGAGCCCATGCCACAGCCAGCACCCGTTCCCGAGCCAATATACGAGCCGACCTTTTCTACCCTTCCCACATGGCTCGCTCAGCCCACAACCATCGAGGCATCCAAGACGGTCCCATTTTCCGAGCTTGGCGTCGACGCTACATATGTAAAGAAACTAGAGAAACAAGGGTTCAAGAACGCCTTGGCTGTGCAAACGGCACTGCTACCTATGCTACACCCTGGCTTTGACCAGCATCTTGGCGACATTTGTGTCTCTGCGAAGACGGGATCTGGAAAGACGCTAGCATATCTGCTGCCAATTATCGAGGCACTCAAGGATCGCGCTGTCCCCATACTCTCGGCAATTATAGTTGTACCAAGCCGACAACTTGTCAACCAGGCCCTTCAAGTCGCCGAGGAATTATGTGCTGGGACAAGGATCAAAGTTGGAACAGCATTGGGCAATGTTGCATTCGCCACGGAACAAAAGCAGCTTGTCAAGATGAGGGCGCAATACGACCCGAAACGAGCACAAGAACTCAATGAGAAAGCGTCACAGCAGTACCAGACGGGCCTGATGGAAAGAGGAGGACCATATGATGATTTGAAGAAAATGTCTCTCGGACACGTGCCAAAGTACGATTCGGGCGTGGATATTCTCATATGTACGCCAGGGCGACTTGTGGAGCACATTGAGCATACAACGGGCTTTCTGCTCAACAATGTCCGATGGCTTGTCATTGATGAAGCAGACCAGCTACTTAACCAAAACTTCCAGGGCTGGGCGAGCGTGCTGATGGATGCTGTTCATGGTGAAACTCGACCCGAATTCATGAATGCTCGAGAACGAATGGCCAAGCAAGTACGGGATGCTAACTCTGCCTGGTCGGTGGCGTTGCCCCAAAGACAGGTGATTAAAGTTGTGCTTTCGGCAACAATGGAAAAGGACGTCAGCAAACTCGGGACATTGAAGCTAAGGCGACCGAAGCTGGTTGTTGTGCAGGATGCAAGCACAGAGCTGCAGCCTCTGGAAACTGAAGACAATGTTTTCGAGCTACCGTCGAGGCTGGAAGAGTTTGCCGTGCACGTTGGCGATGGGGCGAACAAGCCGTTGCACCTGTTGCACGTGCTGCTCAGCTTTGTTTTCGCCGAAAAACATGAAGATGCAGACTCGTCATCGGATTCGGACTCATCAGATTCTTCGTCCGACTCTTCGTCTGACTCTGATTCTGATGCTGGCCAAGTCAGCGCAGCCTCAATGTCGCAGCAAACAGGCCGCGTTCTAATCTTCACCAAGAGTACAGAGAGCGCATCCCGCCTGTCGCATTTGTTGCGTGCACTTATGCCGGGATTCAAGAACTATCTCCAGACCATGACTAGGGCATTGACAGCAGATGCGTCGCGCAAACTGCTCAAGTCGTTCAGTTCTGGGACCATCAAGATTCTGATTGCATCAGACGCTGCGTCTCGAGGGTTGGATATTCCCGACATTACGCACGTAATCAACTACGACCTGCCGACAAGCATCACCAGCTATGTGCACCGCGTGGGCAGGACAGCGCGAGCTGGCAAGGCAGGACAGGCGTGGACATTGTTTAGCAAGACGGAGGCGGCGTGGTTCTTGAAGCAAATAGCCAAGGGCGACAGCATCAAACGCGGCAATAAGAGGGTTAAGCGTATGGAGTGGAAGGAGAGTGCCGTGACGGGCGATGGGAAGAAGCAGGCGTACCGGGCGGCACTCAAGCAGCTGGAGAGTGCTGTTAGCGGGCAGACAGGAAGTGGATAGTTGTGGTGCTGCGGTGCGTGCGAGTTGTTGTTAGTGGATTGTAGAAAAGGCGCGGAGAGGACGAGTGCTGTAAATGATACCCAATTAGCATCCAAGTCCGAAGCAGGCGAGTAGCATGGAATGAAGCGTGAATACCAAGCTTCCTATAGCAGCTTGGCCTGGAGGCGGTTGGAGGAGAACGGGGCAGAGGGCGGCGGTTAGCGGGCAAAAATGTGCTCGAGACAATCGGCCCTTGGAAGGTCGACTTGCGGGCCATATGTCAAAGCGGCAGGTGCCGTGACGTAGGACCTTTTTCGACGCCTGGAGACAGGTCTACATGGACAGCATGCAGGAGGTGTTATCGGTGGGTTGCGGCAGAAGGGCATGCAGGCCTGCATGTGCGGCAGCGCCGAGGCTGCGAGGGATTGATAAGCGTTGTCCAAGAGGAGCATCCCAAGGCTTGGTACCCTCCATGGGCGTGTTGCACGTGTGCAGGCATATGACGCTTCGTCTGTCGGCCTGTCGCCCAAAGAGGAAGGTTCAAGGCCGCACCTGCCAGAAACACTGGCTAACTGGCCAACACCGAAATTCGCATCATGCCCCGGCCCTCGACGGGACACACTGCAGGCCTGTAAAACATACGGGAACATCCTCTAGTTGCGCGTCAGCCGTCTCGACTCCCTTGCCCAAAGCGAAGACTACTTGGCCACCTACCCAATCCAGTCGCTGCCGAAAGTCTCTAATTTCGTGTCCTGGGTATCCCCCGACGGCTTTCATTTGCCATGGCGGCCTGCCGATCGCTGTCTTCCATGGCCGTCTGAAATGGTTCCATGGGACTAGACTCGCTGACACGGTTGGCAGGCCGCATGGTATGTGGGTAGTACAGCAGTCGTCTATGTACTATGTAGAGTGCATGTGATCACGCAGCAGCGCCCACCCATGCACATCGCACAATTGCCATACTCACAGCACCTTTGCAATGGCTAGGATGACAGTGCCCTACGCATCCCCCGGGTTTCGCCTTGCTTGGTTTCATAGCTGTGGCTGCCTTGGCTTGAGCTTAACGCTGCTAAGCGTGGTATGGCAAGCCTTGGCAGTACCTTGATCTTTTGACTGGTGCATACTACTCTTCCCCCCTGGCACTTTAACCCCCAACGCCACTCTTAGTATCGCCGCATCCACCCACGCTACCAACAGTTCGGTCAATGCAGCCTTCCTATTGTGTGCAAGCCCTACATCAAGGAAATCACTGTCTATGCGTCCAAGACGGCTAGCACACACCGTTGACTACTAATCCCACTCTTGACCAATACAACACCATACACTCAGTCGGCCCTATGGCTACACACGATAGGCTTTTTTTTGACACCTTCCTCTTTGTCTGTCGATTGCAGAGAACAATCATGTCCATCTATGCGCCCGCTCCCATACTCGGGGCCCGCTCCCATGATCCACGCCAGGTCGGATTGAGCAGGTAAACGCTTGAAACACGAGCCCAATAAACACAAGGCATTCGCGGCTCGTCCAAATCAGGTTGCCTGCCATGAATGGCTGCAGTAGCAAATTTCGTGACCAAACTGATCCTCCACTAAACACCCTGATATGTCTCAGTCCACGCTAACATAGCGCCCTCTACACACGACTTATCGACAGGGTACGGAGCACATCATCGTCAAGGAAAGTGGGCCTCACATCGCCATGCTCATGGCAATGCTTGGTATAAAGCCAAGTCCAACCTCTATGTCTTGTATCCATCACAGCTCCACTGCCCTTCTTTCGCTTGCCTTCAAGAGTCTCCACGGTCCATTGCCACTATGCCATCCATTATCAACATCACAGCGGCCCTCGCCCTTGCTGGCAGCGTTGCCGCAAACCCCATCCAGCTCGGTACGTCAAAAAAGGGGACTGCCTTTTGAATCTTGACTGACCTTGGAATGGATATAGACAAACGCGGCGCCTTTTCTATCAACCAGGTCCCCCACTCTACCCATCTGAAGAACGGGCCTGCAGAAAAGGTCAAGGCTCTACGCAAGTACGGCAAGGCTGTTCCTGAGAACCTTCTCAAGGCGGCTGAGAACCGTGCAAACACGGTCGTGGTTGAGGCTAGCGCAAGCAGCGGCTCTGTCACTGCCACCCCTAGCGATCAGTACGATACATCGTACTTGTGCCCAGTCACCATTGGCACACAGACTTTCCAATTGGACTTTGACACTGGAAGCTCCGATCTGTAAGTTTGACACACTGCTTCAGCTATCTCATCATGAGCTTAGACTAACGCCACTGAAGCTGGGTATTCTCTTCGCTCCAGCCCAAGTCGCAAATCAGCGGTCGTTCTTACTACACCGTGAACCCATCCAATGTCCTGAGTGGTTACACCTGGAAGATCTCCTATGGAGACGGATCTGGTGCCTCTGGCAAAGTGTACGCCGATAAGGGTAAGTGATCGATATAATCATCAAAAGACTCTTGTGCTTATCAGGACTCACGCTAACTTTATTTCAGTCACTGTTGGTCCCATCACAGCAACTTCCCAGGCTGTTGAGGCTGCCACATCAGTTTCGGCCTCCTTCACCCAGGATACCACCACTGACGGTCTTTTGGGCCTCGCTATGAGCTCCATTAACGAGGTTAGGCCTGTCAAGCAGACCACTTTCTTTGACACCGTAAAGTCTCAGCTTGCCCAGCCGCTGTTCTCTGTCAGCCTCAAGTACCACGCTGCTGGCTCCTACGACTTTGGCTTCATCGACTCAACCAAGTACACCGGTGCCATCACCTACGTCAACGTTGATCCCAGCCAAGGCTTCTGGGAATTTCCCGCCACTGCCTACGCCGTCGGCAGCAGGACCACTTCAGCAAGCATTGATGGTATTGCCGACACCGGCACCACCCTTGTCTTGCTCGATGACTCTATCCTCAGTGCCTACTATGCACAGGTTAGTGGCGCACAAAACAGCGACTCGGCCGGAGGCTACATCTTCCCTTGCTCCAGCACCCTGCCAGACTTCTCTATCGTTGTCAGTGGCGTCAAGCAGACCATTCCCGGAGAGTACATCAACTTTGCCCCTAACGGCGATGGCACCTGCTACGGTGGTCTTCAGTCGAATTCCGACCTTGGTTTGGACATCTTCGGTGATGTTTTCCTCAAGAGCAAGTACGTCATCTTCAACATGGGCAACAACAGCCCTACTCTCGGTTTCGCTCAGCAGTCTGGTAACTAAGCTGCTGGCAACTGTGCCGAGGATATTATTGATGAGGTTTGCATGGTGATCATGTGGAGATGAGTCACTGAGAGATGGCAATGGCATAGAGCATTGGGTGGACTCTAGGGCGTGTTGATGAATTTCTGTCTACGGCAATCGCTTTTTGTACATATTTTCAATCAATTGTTGAAATTTCTACCACTTCTTGCAAATGTATTGTTTCACTTTATGCAGGACTTTGTTGTCATGATAAAGTGTCTGCGGTAAGTTTTAACGGACTGTGACAGCTGATATATGCTGACCTTGGAACTTTTACGAGTCAAGAGCCTTAAAACAAGTTTATGTCAACCCCCCCCCTTTATCGCACATTCTATCCAAATCACAAGCGTCATCCCTACTTTCCGGCAAAAATCGAGTCAAGCCCTACGCATGTCGACTTCCTAACACACCACCAGCCATCAGCGTCATCCTCGACAGTCTATCTAAGCATCCCACAACCCCAGCCAAGCCAACCCACATCTACAAACAAAACAACAACAACAAATTGAACCTTGTCCCCTATCCCCTTATCCTAAGCCTCCTGCACCCCAAGCTTCCACACTCCGCACTCATCCCACCCTCAATCCAGGCCCTCCGCATCTTGGGCCCCCCTTAAAGCCGACCTTAACCCTCCCCCACCCCACCCCAAATAAGTAACAAAAGCAAAGAAGAAGAAAACAAAGGACAGCGCCACTAACTCCAGACCTGCAAGGCAGCCACACACACCTCCCCTCCTCCCCCTCCCCCTTATCTCCACCTCTTTTTTCCCTCGAAGAAGGAAAAAAAGCAAATCCGCACTGTACTATCATGCACGTAAACCCTCTCCATTCTCAGCCCCTGCAACCGATCGCCCCCCCCCACCGCCGACATTTTGCCCGAAAGAGAGAGAGAGAGAGAGGCGAAAGCATACATACAACATGCCAGATAAAACCACCAAAGATACTCTCTCTCTGTGTGTGTGCGTGCGTGTAAGTATCGCTCGACAATCAGCCCATCATATGTATTCCAGACCCCCCTTCCCCGAGATTTTTCTCCATGCGACATCGAAAACAGAAGGGTGATTAGTTCCGACGCGAGACAAAAAAAATGCGCCGCTATCTTCCTTGAACAAATCATGTGTCGTTAAAGTCGTGTGTGTGTGTGTGTGTAGGATAGTACATACTAGCAGGGTGTTAAAACTGTCTCTTCACACACCCCCCACCCCCTTAGTACTCCCGGCCCGTTTTACATACTCGATGCGTGTTGGGGCTGCGTTGGCGGAGAGAGAAAAGGACAAGCGCATACTAGTACTACTACAGGGACAAGCGAAGAATGTCAGCGGTGTGTATATGTGTATGTGTGTAAACGTGGTCTAGTTAGGAGGGGGGNAGGGAAGAATTGCGCAAGTTTGATTGGGGGGTTTTTCTTAGCTTATACGGGCAAGATGATGGGGGGGTGTACTAGAGGTGATTTTTTTTTTGGTGGAGTGTAGACCTTTTACTAGTGGTAGGGGGAGGTTTTCGGGAGGTGGGGTAGTAGGGGGAGAGACGGATACGCTAGGGCTGAGGGGTACTTTTTGCGGCTGGCTCGGGCCGAGTTGCACTCATTTTTTCTTCTTCTCTCTTCCTTTTGCGTTTGGGCCAGGGAGGGGGGGGGGAATGATTAAAGTGGAATGTGGGGTTTGGATGGGCAGACAGTCAGGGAGGGCGATGAGTGTGTGTGTGTGCGTGGCAGTGTCAAGTCCAACATGCAAGTCTGCAGAAGACGGTGCAAAAGCCGGTCTCTATGATTTAATGGCGTGAGCCGCATGTACTTGTCAAGTCTTGGCTTCTAACTGGGATTGCCGTTTCCATGCAAACCTACAGTGTTGACATGTATTTCCATCCTCTGATGGTCTTGCTGTTTCTTGGCTTGGGAGTGGGCATTGTGACTAACACACCGCTCCAAAAGACTAGAAGACTGGGAGATGAAAAAAAAACTGTGACAGAGGATGGGATAGTCTTGGATTTTTGACGTATCCATTTACTCATGTCCTTCGGCAACTGAAAGGACGGGTGAAATGATTTCGCTATCCCCTACAAGTAATCAGGATACGCACGAGTGGATACCAACGGAGGTCGACGAGTTTCCTCGATGTGTATCCCAGTTTTGAGAATTTGCTTTTACCTGGGTTGTCACACCTCCGTCGATCTGTAGGAATCAAATTCCCCAACTCTGCTGTGTTGAGTAAGATACGGCGGGACGCCAAAAGCGCAATTGCAGCAGAATGGCACCCTCCTAATTGAAACAAGCTTGACCAGTCACTACTTGTTGATTCACCCAATGCCGTTCCAGATCTGCATGTATTCGAGCAATGCCTGCTTGTCAATACAAAGGCCGTAGAGCAGACCTGCTTTTGTTTCTCAAGTCGGTCCGATATGCTTGCTTCTCCCAATGAACATTGGATTGCAATCATGTGATGGGCCGTTTTTCTCTCATCAAGTGGAAATAACGGCACACGATTTTGGTGCATGCAGAGGTTTTGCGTGCATGTGAGGGACAATGCATACTGCCTAACCGTCTTGTGTTCAGCCTGCATAGAGCGCCCGGTCTAACCAAAAGAAGAACACATAACCTAGTACCGGTACTTGCTAGCGCAAGGGTCTTGGCTCAATGGACTACGCCAGCATACGTTCAATCTTTGCTGTGCAAGGTGACGCAAAGGCACTTGGACCCTTGTTTGTATAATCAGATGGTGTTTGCATGAAGGGACTGGCACATTCTCAATGAAGCTGAGTCGAGGTCCTGTGTGGAGTCGTGCAATATGTACGTGATGGACAAGGATACATGTTGGTTTCGTGTATACCAATCAAATTCATAGTCGTCGTAATGATCGGTAGTCGAGGGCACGGCATTTGCCCCCCCGATCACTCCACAGCATGACATTGGACGTCACAATGTCTATTCGCATACTGTTGATGTTGCAATTCCCGAACATGCTTACGGTATCAAGAAGTTGACTGGATAATCAGTGTGACACGGCATTCCCAACGGCCGAACATATACATAGATAGCTAGAGTAGGCAGGCGCAATACGGCATTCCCGATGCTAGCAGCATGGAACGCCGTTCATAGCCAGAGTCTGGGCGAGGCCTGACAGCTTGACCATAGAGGAAGGAGCATAGAGTATAAGCACTGAATACTTCAGCAGTCGGGAAAGAAATACCTTGTTGGGCATCACTGTGGACATGATACAAAGAACTTCCATCTCACGTGATGATTGTGAATCCGATACGTAATGTCTGTTGTGACGGGTGATCGGAAGGAAGACAGCATGTGTCAAACGTTTTTAGGATACGAACAGGGCGCACATGTTGCATGTTCAGAGAAAGCCAATGATAACAGCAGAAGGGATATGGCTCAGAACCACAGTCTGTGGGTAATACTCGGGTCTATCCCGGCCTGGTGGTCATAGGTGAGAATATCGCAAAGGTCCAGGCTGCAATCACTCGTACTGGAGCATACACAGCGCGCCTCCAAAGTCAACAAATCCCAGTTTGACTCTTGTTTGACCGGTTCAATAAGAACAATTACTAAATCGACATGTGAGATACGGAAAATGATTCGAATTGGACGAATGAAAGATATTGCCGTTCAGAAATAATGCTGCATGATCAGCAGGGGTGCATGCATGTCAAATTTAGCTCAAAATTGCAATGATCGGCCCGCGGACAGATTGTTCGGAACTGGAGGTTGAGCTTGGATGTTGAGGTTGCGGGGCTATGGCTCACGACACCTTGCATCCACGTGACAGGGAATGCATGCATGCAGACGGGAGGGATCAAGCCCAAGCCCAGTAGCCGGCATGAGTGACTGTCTAGTCCTGTCGATCAAAGTCATGGTCTCACCCAACGTAGAGCGTGGTATTAGTGCAGTAGTGTAGGTATTGATTTTCTGCAGACGCCACAATACCAGGCTTTAGCAAGTCCTGCTATGCACCCTGTCTAGACGTGCGTCGAGGTACCTGTCTCATGATTTGGTAGCCTCGAGACTACACGGCTGCAGCAACAACGTAGAACGTTTACCGGTCCTCTGTTCCCTGGGAATGGTATGGACACGACAGTGGGCGAGCGGCAACCTCCTCCACCGCTGGTCTCTCACTTTTTCTTTTTGTCCTTTATCTTCTTTTTGGACTCTGCCCCACTACTTGCCCCGCTGCCGCCTGCCTCGCCTGCCATCTCGGCCATCATGTCCTGCAAAAAGTTCTCGCTGACACCGCCTCCTGTCAGGGCTGGAGAGTGCAAGGGAAGAATCTTGTTCATCTTCCAGCCCTTGGGTATCGCTGGCTCTGGCATCTCCTTGGGCATGGGTAGGCCTGCAATTGGCAGTCGGAAGGGAGTGTTCTTCTGTGTTGGGTTCGCCTTGAGGGCTTGCGAGATGAGGATGTAGAGGTGGTGCTTGTTTTTGATTTGCTGGTGCATGTTCTTGCCTTCGTGCTTGAGCAGAACGCGCACTCTACCAGGGTTGCTCCAGTCCTTGGGGTGGGTCTTGTCGGGCTCGAAGACTGTCCTCAGGCCAAGGTCTGCTGCCGCGTCTGCCATTTCCCGGGCAAGAGGGTTTTCCACAGCCAATTCCTTGCCCACACGGCGGCCCTCTGCCCTACTTCTCGATATATCAAAGTATATGGGGTACAGGCATTGGTAGTGTTTTGACTTTTCGCGGTCCGTTGTCGTCTTGATCGAGGGCGATTGTGGCTGCAGCATCTGCGAAGCCATGGCTGGCGGCATCATGGTTGTGTTACCGGTACTGGGCGCATTGCTCGCATTCATCAGATAGGGCACGTCGCCAATGTCCATCTCGGACGGCTCACTGTCCGAGTCGCTGACCTCTTCGACGCGGGGATTCATCTTGTCGGGCCTGGTGGCAGTGCTTTTCCGGTGGACGCTGTGCATGGGTCAGAGGTTGTGCGGGTGCGTACATTGTACATCGTCCACGGCACATTGCCGTCGGCCTCACTCACCTGACGTAAGCCCGTCGACTGCAATGGGGAACCAAAGGTGGTGAATGTCGGCCACGGCGGCGGTTGGACGAATGTGGGGAAGCTAGAGGGACGGGCTTGGCAGCGAACGAGGCACTGCCGGTCCGGGTCGGCTTCTCGTTCA